CACCGAGGAGGAGGGGCGGGCCCGAGCGCGGCCCAGTCGGGGCGCGGGGGCGGGAGGCCGAGCTAGAGGCCCGGCTCCGCCCCGCCCCGCCCGTTTCCGTCCTCGGGAAGAGGGTTGAAGGGAGAGGATCCGTTAGAACGCGAGGCCGGCCGCCGGCGCAGTCGCCCCGGGAGCCTGCGGCGGGGCTCTGACCCGCTGAGTGGCCTCGGGTGGGACGCTGGCGGTCTCTGGGCCTCGTTTGCCATCCTAAAGGGGAGAAGATGGCGCCCCCCCATTGATGGGATCTAAAATAAAACCCGGAAACTCCACCGCGGCCTCCAAGGCCTGCAGGAGGAAGCCCCGCTTGGCCTGACCACAGCCTGCGCCCCTGAGCACGTTGCTGGGCCTCACAGGCCTTCTTGTTCCTCAAACTGCTCGGCTTGGTCCCATCTCCAGGTCTTTCCCTCTCTCTGGAACACCATCCCTAACGGCCTCAGGGTCAGCCCTGGCTTCTTGCTTGGGCATCAGATGAGATGTTCCGTCCTCAGCAAGGCCTGCCCTGACTCCCTCTCCAGGCAACCTCTTGTGGTCTTCCTGGCACTTAGCATTGAGCTAAAGTCAACCTTTGTGTTTCTTCAGGGATGGTCTGCCCCCAGCCCCACCCCATCACAGTGGACTATGGGCTTCCTGCGAGCAGGACTCTGCTTTGAAGTCCCCTGCCTGTCTGGAACCCAGCACAGAACATAGAGTAGCATATAGTAGGTGCTCAATAAATACTTGTTGAATGAGTGAATTCAACAGACGGTGGGCGGGTGCCTGCTCTGTGTAGGCCCATGCTGGCCCGCCGGGGCTCTCTGGCCTTGATTGCAAAGGAAGTGATCAAGTGCCTCACTTGAGCATGTGCAGCCAGTAAGTTCTCACTGCTAATAGGTGCTTCCTAGGCCACCCACGGCACAGGTGCCCTCTCCAGAGACACCTTCCACAGAGGCGAGGGGAGCCACAGGCCACCCCGAACCTTAGCATTCCCCAGTCACTTCTCATTTTCTCTGTGTTCTTTGTTACACCTGGACTGGTGATGGTTATCACGAATGTGGATGTCTGATGTTGGATTTTCTTCTCGTGAAATTTGGAGGTGATGAAGTTGCCTTTCTCCTTTTTTTTTTTTTTTTTTTTTTTTTTGTGGTAGGCGGGCCCGTCCCCGCCGCGGCCTCTCCCGCCGCGGAGCACAGGCTCCGGACGCGCAGGCCCAGCGGCCATGGCCCACGGGCCCAGCCGCTCGGCGGCACGTGGGATCCTCCCGGACCGGGGCACGAACCCGCGTGCCCCGCATCGGCAGGCGGACTCCCAACCACTGCGCCACCAGGGAAGCCCGCCTTTCTCCTTTTAATCATCACCTAAATGGCCTTAAATAAACAACAACAAAAAAAACTATTTAGACTAAGGCTATAAATGCTAGTCTAACAAACAGTCCTAAAAAATCACAATTAGGATGGAATCTATTTTTTCGTCTTGTCATTTAAATTATTACAGGCACTTGTAGACTCAAAAAGGAAATAGTTCTCCTAAAGTTATCATGCTGTTGTTGCCTCTCTTAAGATCATATTAACTGTCCATTTCTTTTATTATTTATCTGTCTGAACCTTTTCATAATTGTTGCAGTATATAAGATTAACATTATAATATAAATTATTGAAGCATTTTGCTCTCACTACAGTAAAAGCTGTTGTGTTTACACCTCACCCCACTGAAACACTCCAGTGTGTAAAGCACAAAAGGAGATTTCACTCCTGGTTACGTCTGGAAGCTTCCCTAGAAAGCATCCTGCCTGCCAGGCTTGGCCTCGCATGAAGGAATTGTGGTCCAGTTTCTTTGGGAGGGGCAGGGTGGAGTTCTCCCCAGACTCCAGGAGCTGCTCACCTCCCGTATGACTGTAGGGTGGCCCCAGGGGCAGAGTGTTGGCGGGTGAGGGAGAGCGGGGAGAATAACCAGAGGTGACATTGGTTAGGTGGCCCATTCCT